CTTGTGCTATGAGTCCCCACATGAAATATCTCACCTGAACATTGGACCCCTGTGCAATGAGTCCCCACATGAAATATCTCACCTGAACATTTGACATCCTGTGCTATGAGTCCCCACATGAAATATCTCACCTGAACATTGGACCCCTGTGCTATGAGTCCCCACATGAAATATCTCACCTGAACATTGGACCCCTGTGCAATGAGTCCCCACATGAAATATCTCACCTGAACATTTGACATCCTGTGCTATGAGTCCCCACATGAAATATCTCACCTGAGCATTTGACACCCTGTGCTATGAGTCCCCACATAAAATATCTCACCTGAGCATTTGACACCCTGTGCTATGAGTCCCCACATGAAATATCTCTCACCTGAACATTTGACACCCTGTGCAATGAGTCCCCACATGAAATTACCGCAATATTCACACCAGTTTGGACCAACAAAATTATGAACCTACAAATAAATAAGAAAAATAAATAAAGAACGTGTTTGTCAACAAGAAGTCAATAAAGAAAGGATAATGTACCAAAAGTTCATTGAATTATTGCATTTTTACAGAAACTAATTTCTGGCTATCATGACTATCAAAAATATAGACAAAATAGTGTCATAGAAGAAGTCATTTGAGCATTTGTATATTTATTGGTAGCTAATTTAGCAAACAACAATAATCAAGTCAAATCAACAATAATCAAGTCAAATCAACAATAATCAAGTCAAATCAACAATAATCAAGTCAAATCAACAATAATCAAGTCAAATCAACAATAATCAAGTCAAAACAACAATAATCAAGTCAAATCAACAATAATCAAGTCAAAACAACAATAATCAAGTCAAATCAACACTTCAGCGTTTTTTTTTTTTTTAGAAGTTACCCACATCCAACCATTTTTCCTGAAATCCAGACAGACAACCATCTATCTATCTATCCTGATGATAGACACATCATCATCGGCATAGCTCAGTGGATCTAAGATCATTGAACTAAAAATGATATGTGCCAACCAGCTTAGTAATGTAGTTTTTATATTCATGTATATGACAAAAAAGGTATTTTATATGAAAGATACTGGTTATATAAAAAAGAGCAAAAGTTGCAGTTAAACACTGGTGGCACTGTTCACAAAATAAGTAGAAAAGTATTAAGTTGGATAATACATTAAGGCAGACACACAATTTAACCTAATCCAACAAGAGTATTATTTTTAAGTTATAACAATGAATACCTTAAATTTATGTGGTTTTTCATAAAACAAAGATTATTTTAAAGCTTTAGCAATAAATACCTTAATTTTACGTGGTTTCTCATGCGATGAGAACATTATTTTGAAGCTATAGCAATAAATACCTTAAATTTGTGTGCTTTCTCATGCATTGAGGACATTATTTTTAAGCTATAGCAATAAATACCTTAAATTGATGTGGTTTCTCATGCAATGAGGACATTATTTTGAAGCTATAGCAATAAATACTTTAAATTTATGTGGTTTTTCATAAGACAAAGGCATTATGTTTAAGCTATAGCAATTAATACCTTAAATTTGTGTGCTTTCTCATGCAATGAGGACATTATTTTGAAGCTATAGCAATAAATACCTTAAATTTATGTGGTTTTTCATAAGACGAGGGAACTATTTCTTCTATTTCTTCAATATGTTCTGGTTTAGTTGGAGCATCTTTCTATAATAATGAATAAAAGAATGTAAAATATCACCAAAAGTCCATACATTAATTAATTTGGTGACCCATTAATTCATTTTTTCATTTACTCCATTCATTGATTTTTGCATTTATTTCATATTTATACATTGTCCATTTGTCCAATCATTTATTCACTTTTTCATTTGTTAAGTCATGTTTTCAAAATTTTCATTCACTTGTCCATTTATCTGATCTTTCATTCATCAAATTATTTATTCTATTATTCCATTGTCTAATTATTCACTAACTTGTTCATTTGTATAATCAATAATCTAATGTTCAATCATTCATTCAGCTGTTCAATCAATTCATTTATCTAATTATCATCCACTTGTTCATTTGCATATTTCACTCATCTGACTAAGCATGTCTGATAATTCATTCATTGACCAATCCTTTCACTCATTCATTGACCAATTATTTCACTCATTCAGTCATTGAACAATTCTTTCACTCTTTCATTCATGACTAATTCTTTAACTCATTCATTCATTGATCAATTATTTTACTCATTCAGTCATTGACCAATTATTTCACTCGTTCATTCATTGCCTAATTCTTTCATTGACCAATCACTTCACTCATTGACTAATTCTTTCATTGACCAATTACTTCACTCATTCATTCATTGACTAATTCTTTCACTCACTTGACTAGTCATATATTCATTTGTTTAATTATTTATTCACTTGTCAAATCCTTTATTCACTTGTTCATTCATTCATTCATTCAGGTGGTTTATTTGCTCACTCATTGATTCATTGTCGTACTTACCACTGTTATGTTAGCTTTATTGAACTCATCATAAATCTTCACTTCTTTCTTTACGCTTTGTTTTCTTTTCCTTCCATCTAGCGTTGTATACTTGGAATGGTGTTCATATATTGGTTCTGATACCATAACCGCAATATAATCAGCCGCTTTAGATTCCATATGCATGGTTATCAACCCATCTGATACCAAATCATGTATAGTATCAAATCGTTTATCGCCCACGTAGTGTTTCCCATCATAGAATAGTTTAAAATTCTTAGTTACGCCTCCAAACCTGTGAAATTGTAAAAATGAGAGAGAGAGACAAGTCAACCAGTCTGATACCAAATTATGTATAGTAGCAAATAATTTAGTGCGTACGTAGTGACTTCCATCGTGGAATAGTTTAAACTTCTAAACCTGTAAATGAGAGATACAAGTAAGGAGAGCTAGACAAAATAACCTAATGGTGGTACATGTTGGTAGTTATTACCAACTCGCAGTCAAGAATCGACTTTACATCTGATAAACAACAAAGTGTGAATAAATAGAGGTATACATGGAAACATTTCTTCTAGCAGCAAGCTCTACTATGGTGACCATTTTTCAAAGATTACTGTAAAACACTTATTTTAAGTAACTTTTGGGTAACAGCTACGTAACAAAATGTAGCAAATTTAGCTACTTTGTATTTCCTAAATAAGCAGTTAGACCATTGGCAATTTAGCAAAATTAGAAATAATCTCAATTATGCATCTAAATAATTGACTTTATAAATGTGGTTTACAGTGTTTCAGGTACACAAAGTGTTTCTGTAGACATTCTTTATAAGTTACAGGGATTACAACAAATACAGTTTATCCTTAATTCCACATAGGTTTGTCAGATTATGTTGCTTAATGTAATTTAGATTCTCATAAACAGAAATTAGAAATGAAACATGATAAGAGTGTTACAAGATACACAGCATCTATTTTAAGACTGTGCACACTGCATAAAACATTCATCTCATATATACATCTTACAAAAAGTCTTAAACAGAAATAAACTTTAATAACCCCTATAATTTTGAACCACATTTTCTACAATTCGTGTTCATTCATGATGAACTTTTCAAATGTTGCTAAGTAGATACTAGAGAGTGTACAGTAATTAAATGTTATCCCAAGACTCTTGTCCAAAAAATGGTGGCTGATTTGCATATAAGTATTATTTAATTTGCATACGAGTATTATTTAATTTGCATATAAGTATTATTTAATTTGCATATGAGTATTATTTAATTTGCATATGAGTATTATTTAATTTGCATATGAGTATTATTTAATTTGCATATGAGTATTATTTAATTTGCATATGAGTATTATTTAATTTGCATGAGTATCATTTGATTTGCACATGAGTAGTAGTTATTAGACCATTTTCCATTCACTGCGAGAATCACACGTTATGCGTGAAATCAAACGTAAAAACAGGACAAACAAAGGACATAGTATCGTACGTAGTGCTGTCAAACATCGCATGAGATTCGTCAAACGTGAAAGTATTTTGGGGGACATTTCCATGCTTAATAATGTGCTGTCCACATTTGAAGATAGGCAATTTCGATTAAGTGAGGGTATTCGGAAGCAATATTTTTCTGTCGAAAATCGGCCAGCTACGAAATAGAAAAATTCTAGTTCAAAATCAAATCATTTGATTTTTGTGGCAGACATTCGACGTGCGTTTTTCATGCATCTCGTGAGATCTCGCAATTGTACGGAAAATCACCTTTTTGTATATTAGTGATATTGAATTTGCATAACGAGGTAGTTGATTTACATACAATTAGTAGTTAATTTACATACACGTAGTTGGTAATTTGCATACAAGTGGTAGTTATTAAATGGTTAAATAATTCAAAAACATTCACGGAAAATACATATACCAGAATGTGTAACCTTCAGAGGTCATGTATTAAGCCAATTAAAGGCACATAAGCTGCAATTTACGAACAAAACTCCCAGGGTATGGAGAAACTAATATTTTGTATTTATTTATTTGTCTAGATTTTCTGCTGGAATAAATTAATGAAAGTCAAATTCAGTTCAAATACTCTTCTCTCTACATGTGTATTTGAAATATAACTCATCTAAATTCAATGAAAGAAATTACAATACTGAGTATATATCACATTAGAAAATAAAAGTTTAATTATATGAACAATTATTTCCCATGATTCCATGGTGCAATCCCTGGGATTGGTAGCTTACCCTTTTAAAATTAAAATTACTGTAAATCTCTTCATAATATGAACAATATAGCAAAATAGTGATGTATATATTTACATTGTCACCCACGTATTCCAGTAACAAATCACCACCACATGTGTATATTTCAAATTCTTCAGTAAATATGATACGACTACAACAACATGCCTCAGTTTGTCACTAGGATTTGACTGCATTTTATTATTGTAAAGTTATATAATTTCAATAAAGAAAATTATCATTATTGCAATAAAACACTATGATATAGCTATGTGCAGTTTTTATACATCTGATTCGTGAATTGATAGAATCTAAATTTAAACCAACAGAAAAATGTGAATAAATCAAGCCTAAGAAATACATATTTTGCTTATTAAATGGATATCTTAGCTAATATAAGCTGTAGGTAATCTATTATGGTCTATGGCATGTATATACACCTTGGCTTAATTCATTCAGTGAATATAGAGGTAATTATTATGGCATATTGAGTCTATATACACCTATGTTTGAACTGCTTATTGGGTCTAAAGAGTCTATATACACTTTTATTTGTAATGACTTACCTTAAACTAAGTGTATAGCTTCCCGGAGATCTTTGACTTTCCCGAACGAGGTAACTGCCATCACCAAATTTGGCCAATAATCTGTCGGCTTCCTCTCTTGATATCATACCATGGCATCTGTAAACATAAACAAACAGTTATTTACCCCATCTTTCACTACCAATTTATGCCAAATTTCATAACCTTACAAAAAATTGTTGAAGTATTAAGTTGCTTCCAAAGAGATACTAATTAATAATTTAAATAGTTGATTACAAATTTTAGGCAATATATAATCATGATAAATTGAAATTAATATTGAATTTAGAAAACAATTACAGAAATATTTGGCGAGTTGAGTTTGACGAAAATGATCAACACCATCAACGGATTTAGTGACTGATGTATGTACAGTTAAAACATGTATGAGAAATTATCTATAGAGACAAGAAAAACGACAAATAAAAACAGAACTAAACAGAACCAGAATAAGAACCAGAGGACTACGCACAGAACAGCACTTCATCCATGAATTGCCTATTCCAAATGGTCATATGTACAAACTCCTTTCAACAAACTGAGGTCAGAGTTCAACTGAAAAGGTTTCATTCTATTAATGAGTGGAATTTTTTGATATGACCCCACGAGGGCGCACTCACTCACTCACTCACTCAGACAGCCAATAAAACAAGTTCCTCATGGAGAAATCATCAGATGAGTTTCCATGGTAACCATCATACAAAACACACAAGTAACATCCTATCTTGACCTTTTTTTTCCCTACAGAATTTATTCATAAACCGTTGCTTCACCCCAGATTTTTGAATTCATCAGTGTTAACAACATGTATACAACATAATTTCAATTACATTTATAAGATTAATAAACTACATAAGGACCTCAAGGCTATATATTGGATAGTCACCTTGGATAAATGTAGTTGTATGTAAGTGTATGAGAAAGTAGTCAATGTAATTTAGTTCATTAGTCCACCATGCATTGTGCAGGTGTGAGTTTTCACACTAATTTCATATCTTGCTTCAGGCAAACAAAAATAACTCAAATTATTACAGAAAAAATTCATGAGAACATGACAGGATGATTAACTTTAATGGCAGTCAATTTAACAATATAAATATTTTATGGAATGAACCGATATTCCACTATAACTGTATGTACAACACCTTATGATTTCAAACACAGCTAATATAAGTGATCTGAATACCTTATTTTGACAAATAATTTTACATTTCACAAATCAGTATATCGTAAAACTAACAAAATTTGTGAAATTGTTTGTTAAACTTAATAATATTGTGTACACTGCTAGAAATAAATGTTAAATAATTCATAATCTGAGAAAGTTTAAATCTTCACTGCTATAATATCTGCTAATAATAAGAGAATGTTAAAATTTTAAAATTGTTCTATGAGTATGTTCCACTATTCACAAAGCTGCAAAATTTTTTATCAGTCTATGGCCAAGACTGTCTGGAAAAAAAAAAATTTCAAGTGCCCATGAACCTGGATCTATACTTTATTATTGTCTGTTGCAAAATTAAAATGGTTTAAATATTCACCTACATCCACATGACCACAAACACTGATCTGATCTTCGTAGATTCAAATATAGGTGTATGCAATATATTTATTGATTTATTACTTGGAGAAACATTCAAATTTACCCATAATGCAGTGGTGATGTCAATGTTTGTGCACTCACTAATCTGTACTCACCACTTGAGGGTGCAATTTAACATAACATTGTCACCTTACTTTAATATTGCACTGATGAAACATGACAAAGAAAAAAAATCCTTTATTTGAAGTAAATAATCACCATGGTAACCACGGTGTCGTTGATTTGATGAGTCATCCATCTTTGTAGTCAACTAATGACTACGGTTAATAGAAAACCAGTCAAGTATTACAAGACAAAAGAGAAGATCTCAAGGAAGCAATGAGAATACTAAGTTATACTTGGTGTATGAGTCATCGATACATACACCTTTAATAGTGAGTGGGATTTTGATGTTAGATATAGGGGGGAAAAGACTATTCAACCCACCCCCCACCCCCTGTTACACACATACACTAACTGGAACTCAAACACATGGTGATCATTTAAACATGTTACACAAATAATATACTATTATTGCAGGTTCAAACCAAATCTAATATATCCTTAATTCAATAGCATTGATAAGTTTTTGAGCAATTGGAGCATGATACTTATATTATTAGTGGGCGATTGGGGCGTGTGGGCATTTGGGGCGTGTGGGCAACCTGGGTGTGTGGGCAATAGGGGTGTGTGGACAATTGGGGTTGGGATCTATGGGCAGTTGGGGTGTGTGGACAATTGGGGTTGGGATCTATGAGCAGTTGGGGTGTGTGGACAATTGGGGTTGGGGTCTATGGGCAGTTGGGGCGTGTGGGCAATCAGGGTTGGGGTCTATGGGCAGTTGGGGTGTGTGGACAAATCTAAGGTAGGTCTACCCAAGGTACTTAATACACCAAGTATCAAAGCAATCAGCCTTGTTGTTTTCAAGCAGAAGTCAAAAAAGTAAAAAGTTGATGCGGACAATAACGGATAATAACTCATATGATAATTAAGCTCTTCTAGACAAAGTCGACAGTGGAGCTAAAAATACATAATGCACAACATGCTATACATTATTTTTAGTTAAATGATTTTTGCACCAAGAACAATATTTATAGAGCATATATCCCCTATCAGAAACACAACTCTAAGAGAAGCATATATAAACCAAGAATTGCATTTACTGTATGCTGGATTATTAAAAGACAACTTATTTTGACCATAGACTCACCTCTTTATGTAAGTGTATCCATTACAGTACTTGTAGATGACAAAGAAATGTGTATAAATGTAATAATGATCAAATCAAAATTGTACCAAACTTCCTAAATTATTTAAACTAAGAATTATGAAAAATTACTCCTAAATCAATCTCAATATGCAAGAAATTCAATATAATAATGCAAGAGAATATCTTTTTTGATTTATTTTCATTTATGTCTTTTAATAGCAGTAAATGACTGCTCAGATAGAAGCTATCAATTTAACAATATCTGACCATATAATGCAGACACTGCTGTGACCAATGATTAATGACATGTCAGCATTTTATATTGATGGCTTTGTTATTGGTTATTGTCATATTTACATGCACTCACTGCCATCCACAAAATGCAGTAACATTTTTAACCCTATGTCTAAACCACTGCAAGATCTTGCGAGTTGCATGATCAAATGTTTGCCGCAAAAATTAGATGATTAGATTTTGCACTTGTATTTCTTTTGTTTGTCCATAGCTCAATATTAAACTGCTGATCTTTCAGAAGGAAATATGGCATTGAGAAACCCTTACTTCATTGAAACTGAAACATCATGAAATGAATATAATAGTTATTAAATGTTAAGTTCTAATGCCACTATGATGCTAGGACCTTTGTTTGACCCGTTTTTATGTTGATTTCATGCAATAACGCTTTGTCTCGCAGTGAAGAGGAAATGTTCTATTAATGTACATGGTAGTGTGAAAACCACCTTTATTAATTCAAGTCTGTTGTTTCATAATGTTTACTTGTAATAGAAAAAGATAATAGGATAACATGTACAACACCTGCATATCACTAATAGATTAGTACCAAGTATTCCCAACACAATATGACCTACACTGTAGTACTACTATTAGACAGCCAGCCAGGTAGATAAGTGCTTAACAAATTTGTATTTTCCGCATTTGTTGTTACATGCAGGCATCTATGCTAGATCAAGTCCTGATATAGTAAGATTTCATGACAAGGGCTATGCCAAAATTAAAAATCATTTTTTGGCCAAAACTCCCCATAGAAAGCACTTTTCTACCTTCTGCTGGCTGTCTATATCTACAGTTTCCTTCTTATAACCTGACTGTTATTATACATCTTTCTGGTCCTGATCTGATTGCTATAATTCAGCTGTGACGACAGGACGAGGTAGTGAAAAGCTGTAAAACTTCACTCTGTAATACATCTGCAAATTTATCAACAAGATATCATCATGCCTTATATGGAATTTGCACATGTATTTTCTAATGAGGTAATTGTCAAATACTCAATGATCCAAGGTAACTTCCAGATACTATATGAAAATGACAACATTGTGCTACATTATATTGTACCTAACAATCTGCAAATACAATGTTTCCATGGAAACAACAGCTTGGGGATGTTGCCAAAGAATCTCAGCTAATTAGAATAAAAACTAGGTAATAAGTCTAATTCTGTTAAGATCTGGTGATTTCACTACATGTAAAACTGGTAATAAGTCTAATGCTGTTGAGATCTGGTGATTTCACTACATGTAAGACTGGTAGGGCAAGATGTTTGGGGTGACCTAGGTGTGATATTTTTATTCACGACACACTAATCATTTTATGATACAAGTATGTCACTCTGACTCAAATGGCTGAAAATCAATACAATATGGCTTCACATAAATTATAGATAATCAAATTTATTCAACATTTCTTGTATATTTAAAAAATTTCTCATGAAAGAGAGGCAAGTCTTCTTTTCAAGAATCACTGCAACTACAAACAAACATAACAATTGGACCTATGTAAAAGGACTCTCTTTCACATGATTGTTTTGGTGGATATCACATTTTCAAATTGTTTGGGCATTAAAAAAAAGGATTTTCCTATCACGATTGGATAACTGAGGTAAATGTCATGCAAAAAGTCAGCCATTTTGAAGGTACACTTATAGTCTTTATACATGCCATATGACATGGTTTACAGTATAACCTAGCGGTAAGTTAAAACAGTGATTCATCTAAGCAATAATCTTTAATATATCTAAAAACAGAAAACAAATCTTGTTAAACAGCCTCCTTAAAGTAAAGCACTTGAAATTTATACAAGATCAGATGAGATAAAGTAATTAGTTAGTCATAAACCACTTCTTATTTGCTGCTTTCCACCGCGTGCACACCTGGAACAGTGACATTTGTATTCTACAGTTCACTATGCAAGTAATTTCTCTACAAATTCATTACCCACTTCCCCGCAGATTACTCACCTAAAATTTTAATCCAAATTTTTATTTTAATGCTTTGAATGCAAGGTTTGTCACCTTGTTTCCATTTTTCTTTAAAAATTGTGGTTCAAGACCAGTATGCAATGGAGGAGTCCTTGCTTCAAAGACAACCGAAAACAGGTCGGGCAATAGAAACCAATATAACAACACTACAACCGTATCACAATTGGGGAGTCCCTGCTTCAAAGACAATCGAAAACAGGTCGGGCAATAGAAACCAATATAACAACACTACAACCATATCACAATGGAGGAGTCCCTGCTTCAAAGACAACCGAAAACAGGTCGGGCAATAGAAACCAATATAACAACACTACAACCGTATCACAATTGGGGAGTTCTTGCTCCAAAGACAATCGAAAACAGGTCGGGCAATAGAAACCAATATAACAACACTACAACCGTATCACTATTGGGGAGTTCTTGCTCCAAAGACAATCGAAAACAGGTCGGGCAATAGAAACCAATATAACAACACTACAACCGTATCACAATTGGGGAGTTCTTGCTCCAAAGACAATCGAAAACAGGTCAGGCAATAGAAACCAATATAACAACACTACAACCGTATCACTATTGGGGAGTTCTTGCTCCAAAGACAATCGAAAACAGGTCGGGCAATAGAAACCAATATAACAACACTACAACCGTATCACAATTGGGGAGTCCTTGCTTCAAAGACAATCGAAAACAGGTTGGGCAATAGAAACCAATATAACAACACTACAACCGTATCACAATTGGGGAGTCCTTGCTTCAAAGACAATCGAAAACAGGTTGGGCAATAGAAACCAATATAACAACACTACAACCGTATCACAATTGGGGAGTCCTTGCTTCAAAGACAATCGAAAACAGGTCGGGCAATAGAAACCAATATAACAACACTACAACCATATCACAATGGAGGAGTCCTTGCTCCAAAGACAACCAAAAACAGGTCGGGCAATAGAAACCAATATAACAACACTGCAACCATATCACAATGGAGGAGTCCTTGCTCCAAAGACAATCGAAAACAGGTCGGGCAATAGAAACCAATATAACAACACTACACAACACATATCAATACCCCTAGATTGTCCACAGTCAAGGCCAACCAAACATGTTTTTAGCATTCAGTAATAAATACATGTATTATTGGTAAGAATCTATCCCTTTGTAGAAACAAGAAATAAGTAATTCACACAATTTGAATTATGCATACATGCTTGATCACATTGCAATAGGTATTGTTTAGACGATAATAACCATGACTGATTCCTCTCTGACAGAATCCCTAGAGTGTAAATCTGATAATACTTGAATAAAACTATCATTTTATAATATCTCAATTCAACCTGAACACCTGATGCTAGACACAGATTGATTGTGCAGCATCCGTGAAATTGACTTCAATTACGATAAGACACACAAAGATGAATCACGCTAATAATGAAATAATTTGATATAGTACTATAATCCCAATATCCTTGTATCCCCCCCCCCCCCCAATTATTAAATCACATAGACTATGACTAGGCTTTCATCTCAAATAATTGCATAAAATAAAATAATGTAATCTGTTATGTTATTATATCAAAACCATGTACTGCTCCTGTTAATTCAGGGTCTCTATTTATTTGTGTACCAAATTCATTTAAAAAAAATAATTATTAAATGTATCCTTTCATTTGAGATCTAACTTTGTTGTTATTCATCAAGCTAATCCAATAAAAAAAATGCAATGCAAAAATTACCATCCTTTCATGTTACTTTGTTATGTTACATTTCCAGTGATACATTGTACCAGCCGAAAATTTCAACACAAAAGAAAGAAAAAAATAGTGCTTTAATAACAAAGATATAGATTGTAACATTTGATTAGTCAACGCGAATAGAATTACATTGCTTAGCATTAATAAATTTGGTGCCATGTTGTTGAAAGGTTGAAAGTAATCGCTATCATAAATGCTACATGTAGGAGTGAAACAATATTTGAATTCACGTCTTTTGATTTGATAACTGTTTGACCCTGTATCAGTACAAGCTTTTCTCCAACAAAATTCAGTTTTGTAATTGTGAATTTCTGATTGCATCAAAATTATTCTGACAATGAACTTGAATTACATGTATATATTTTTGGTGAAAAACAAGAGTACCTAGTTTTTGAATGACCATCTTGGGTGTAACTTGAATGTCAGTGTTATTTTCCGGTAGATTTACGTACTTTCTACAAAGCTTCATCTTAAAACAACACTGTTGCTGTGTGCAAACAATTTTCACTAAAATTACTGATGGTAAATCATACCATAGTAAATGCTATGTCTCTGTCAGTGTCTATTTTCATCCCAGAAAACCTGAATCACAATTAATTGAATCGACCATTCTATTAACACTAGACAAAAAATACCATTTGTATACTATTTATTTACACTCTCAGAAAATAGACAATTATTTTTATATTCATGAATTAATAGACTACAGACAGTAGACTATATATTTAAGGAGTCATCTTAAATTATCACATAAAGTCAGAAAATGCAGTACTTAAGGCATCACTCCTAGTACTCAGTATTAAGTCTGTATATAGTGATGTAATAAATGCAACTCATCTGTTACATAACAGGGTATAACTATCAGGAAATCTATTTCTTATTTGTCAACAATGATAGAGAAATCATCGTACATATTGACGTACATAATCACTTAAGGTACAGTGTAGCATATTACTCATGCATTTTTGACATGTGTGAACAAATTTTATTTTATGTAGAATATATCATTTGTCATTACATGTTAGTATGCTCACCTACAAAAGTCTTTAAAAATAGTCCTGTTTTTCCTGTAAGTGCATTAGCAGGAAATCCACCATAATGACATCAAAACACATTTGACTGTAGACGCTTTCAGCAAATGTGATAGTAATTTAAAATCATGTTTATAAGCTTGGGAATATTGTGCAAAAACAAAACGCCCCAAAAAAATAAATAGGCAAAACACAAACATACTTTAAATAAAAAGTCAAAAAGCTCAAAAGCATAGAAAGACAATAATAGACATGATTAATGATTGTACTTACTCTCTGCCATAATGATCTGGTTTATTATCTGTTGAACATTCTGAAATTATTCTTTTAGACTGGGGAGCTTGAAGCTGCAACTGATACACTGTGAATAACGATAGAAATAAAATAGATGTATATTAATTATGATAAATTAATATTTATGGTTTATAATACATTGTAGATATATTGTATAATACATTTGCAGTCCTGGGACCATGAAGCTTATACCCATCATTCTCACATATATAGACAGTTACTTACACAACAAGTAGTGTTGTTTCCTCAGGTCATATTATGAGGTCATTATGACGATACCTCGAAGTATGCACAATGACAGTACAGCGGGAGTATCGACTGATGCGCAACGGAGGTCGATGTGACAATGTACTGTCTGAGTGCATACTTTGCAGTATCCTCATAATAACCTTATTATTATACATCTTTTCTTTCCAATGATACGTCATGGGAATGTCGAAATCCAAAATGTTTAGAAAAGAATCAGCGAACTTTTTTGTGAGGAGTCCGGCCAAACTCTTGGTCGCAGCCATATTTGTTTTATTATTAGAGGTCACTAATGTGCATAATCATATCATATTTGAAATTCGCGTATCTTAATATGGTAGAATGAAAATATCCTGTAAAATACTGCAAAATTAGAGCATGCTATAACTTATGGCGTTATGGTGACAGATGTATAATAATATCTAATATGTAATGAAAATCTCACAGCAGAAATATTGATGAATGTGTAAGAAGAATATTTTCTTTCCTAACATTAGCAAAGGACTGTGCTAAATGCAAAACTGCATAATTATTTAGAGTGAAAAATAACAGAGCACTGAACCAATACATACCCAAATAACAGAGCACTGAACCAATACATACTCGAATAACAGAGCACTGAACCCATACATACTCGAATAACAGAGCACTGAACCCATACATACTCAAATAATAGAGCACTGAACCCATACATACCCAAATAACAGAGCACTGAACCCATACATACCCAAATAACAGAGCACTGAACCAATACATACTCAAATAATAGAGCACTGAACCCATACATACTCAAATAATAGAGCACTGAACCCATACATACCCAAATAACAGAGCATTGAACCAATACATACTCGAATAATAGAACACTGAACCAATACATACTCGAATAATAGAGCACTGAACCCATACATACCCAAATAACAGAGCACTGAACCAATACATACCCAAATAACAGAGCACTGAACCAATACATACTCGAATAACAGAGCACTGAACCCATACATACTCGAATAACAGAGCACTGAACCCATACATACTCAAATAATAGAGCACTGAACCCATACATACCCAAAT